TGGTTAAGCCCAACAGTATTTCGGGAATTATTTTTGAACCGACAGTATTTCGGGAATTATTTATTTAATTAGCATTATTCTGGGAAAAAACTCGAATTAAACATTTAATTATGACTTTTGACTATCTTTTAATCATATTTAAAGGAAGGGTAAAAATGAAATGAAAAAATAGATATGTTTCCAACAAAAGTAATTTGGTATTCCTTCCGTTCCTATTAAAACTTCCAACTTTCCTTTTTTGTCCGTTGCAATTAAAACTTCCACTTTCTCGTTTTAGTAAAGAATTTGCTGTTCACAACATTTCTTACACATTTCTCTCTCCTCTGCACAACATTCCACCACACAGTACCCATTATCTTAAATTGTGTAACAAACCTATTTGGAAGATAAAATAGGAATGGAGGAAGTAATATTTTAGAATAGAAACACAAGAAGACCTATTTTGGGAGTAATTTCTATAAAAATATCCTTGTGACACGATTGAATCACTGTGACACTTGTGCCAACGGGTTGAATCATTGTCTTAGTTTGTGACACGATTTCACGCAATGTAATCAACATCTGGATTACTGGCATTTTCCATTTATATTCTTATGCATTACTGTGTGTCAACTGGCTATTTGCTCACGTCACACGCACGTCATCCGCCGCTGGATTAGGGTACTACCGAGATGCTTTAGATCACATGTGTGATGATCACGTTTATCTTGTATATCATTAGATGTAAGTACTTTGTTTTACGTTTTTATAAACTATGATGTAACACTGTTTTGTTTTATAGATGACGTGGATGTCGTACACTCATGAGATTCTTAGATTGTTGTCTCCTGTTGGCCGAGAGCACACTCAGATATGGCGAGCACGTGTGCCCTTGATATGTTTTGATGTAGCAGAGCATCACTTTCCTGATCGCGTACTATGACAGTTCGGGTTGCAGCAGGTTATTCCTGAACCTTGTGATACATCTGTGGACTTACACAAGATTGACATATGAGGGAAGCACACTGAAGATTGGGGGATGCGTCATATTCAGTATATCACTATGTGGGAAGAGAGGGCGATGTATATAGTGCACGGGACCCCATCCTTAGTCCCTACAGCCTCTGTAGATTACATGAGATGGTATTACACCATCACACGAGTGTTCATCTCTCCCAGTTTTCGTCTGCCCACTGATCATTACCAGCCTAGCTCGGTCGCTCTTCATATGACGGTAAACAATAGTCACTAAAATAACTTTATTTATTCTTTTTGGTAAACAATAGTCACCAAAAAGAGGTTGATCCACTTTATTCGCCAAGCGAATGATCTTCGCTTCGCGGGAACAACAAAAACAACCATTCATTCGTCCTGGCCCAATAGTAGAATCTATCTCTCAGCAATTCTTTTCTCCGCTAATCACCCCTTCCCAACCAGCCCGCCCGATCCCCCTTTTTTTACCTTGAATTGGTCAAAGCAAAAAATCTTCATTAATAACCATTTTGTATTACAGACACGAGCTTTGCGTAGCATCCATGACAGAGCGATTGTTGTACTTGATGAGGCAGTAGATGTACAGGGATACCATGAGGCTTGTTCGGGCATTGTTGCACTGTGTGCTGATGTATTGGGCCGAGTAGATTATGGATATATGGCCGACTCTCAGTATTCCACCGCATCCGCATCCTCAGCAGGGTCTTCTCAGACAATCCGACGTGATAGAGCTGTTCTTCAGCCTCGTAACCAGCGCAGGCGCCCCCGAGCATAGCCACAACCACATGAACTTCATGATGATGATGATCACGTTGACTTATGATCTTTGTATTATTATTATGTGAGAGTTGTAACATGCACCGGCAGATCGAATCATTTTGTGAAACACCAGATATATTATAACTTTTATGTCTTATTTCAAATGTCGTGATGCAATGAGTTTCATTGATTCGTTTTGTATTTCAGATGTATTTTGTCTTAGTAAATCATATATTTGGTTGTTTGTTTGAGTAGAATGGACTCTGATAAGCATATTTTCTGGTAACTACAGGTTCATTTGTGTAATTATGTGTAATTAATAGTTCAGCAGCTTCCTAAACACAAGAGCTGCCACTTGAAGTGGCGGCTTTTGTATACGTATAGAAGAACCGCCACTTCAAGTGGCGCCTTTTGTATAGCACGCTGAAGAGCCGCCACTTCGAGTGCCGGCTTTGCTTAACCATGGTTAAGCCCAACAGTATTTCGGGAATTATTTTTGAACCGGCAGTATTTCGGGAATTATTTATTTAATTAGCATTATTCCGGGGAAAAACTCGAATTAAACATTTAATTATGACTTTTGACTATCTTTTATTCATATTTAAAGGAAGGGTAAAAATGAAATGAAAAAATAGATATGTTTCCAACAAAAGTAATATGGTACTCCTTCCGTTCCTATCAAAACTTCCAACTTTCCTTTTTTATCCGTTGCAATTAAAACTTTCACTTTCCCATTTTAGTAAAGAATTTGCTGTTCACAACATTTCTTACACATTTCTCTCTCCTCTGCACAACTTTCCACCACACAGTACCCATTATCTTAAATTGTGTAACAAACCTATTTGGAAGATAAAATAGGAATGGAGGAAGTAATATTTTAGAATAGAAACAGAAGAAGACCTATTTTGGGAGTAATTTCTATAAAAATATCCTTGTGACACGATTGAATCACTGTGACACTTGTGCCAACGGGTTGAATCATTGTCTTAGTTTGTGACACGATTTCACGCAATGTAATCAACATCTGGATTACTGGCATTTTCCATTTATATTCTTATGCATTACTGTGTGTCAACTGGCTATTTGCTCACGTCACACGCACGTCATCCGCCGCTGGATTAGGGTACTACCGAGATGCTTTAGATCGCATGTGTGATGATCACGTTTATCTTGTATATCATTAGATGTAAGTACTTTGTTTTACGTTTTTATAAACTATGATGTAACACTGTTTTGTTTTATAGATGACGTGGATGCCGTACACTCATGAGATTCTTGGATTGTTGTCTCCTGTTGGCCGAGAGCACACTGAGATATGGCGAGCACGTGTGCCCTTGATATGTTTTGATGTAGCAGAGCATCACTTTCCTGATCGCGTACTACGATAGTTCGGGTTGCAGTTGGTTATTCCTGAACCTTGTGATACATCTGTGGACTTACACAAGATTGACAGATGAGGGAAGCACACTGAAGATTGGGGGATGCGTCATATTCAGTATATCACTATGTGGGATGAGAGGGCGACATATATAGTCCACGGGACCCCATCCTTAGTCCCTACAGCCTCTGCAGATTACATGAGATGGTATTACACCATCACACGAGTGTTCATCTCTCCCAGTTTTCGTCTGCCCACTGATCATTACCAGCCTAGCTCGGTCGCTCTTCATATGACGGTAAACAATAGTCACTAAAATAACTTTATTTATTCTTTTTGGTCAACAATAGTCACCAAAAAGAGGTTGATCCACTTTATTCGCCAAGCGAATGATCTTCGCTTCGCGGGAACAACAAAAACAGCCACTCATTCGTCCTGGCCAAATAGTAGAATCTATCTCTCAGCAATTCTTTTCTCCGTTAATCACCCCTTCCCAACCAGCCCGCCCGATCCCCCTTTTTTCACCTTGAATTGGTCAAAGCAAAAAATCTTCACTAATAACCATTTTGTATTACAGACATGAGCTTTGCGTAGCATCCATGAGAGAGCGACTGTTGTACTTGATGAGGCAGTAGATGTACACGGATACCATGAGGCTTGTTCGGGCATTGTTGCACTGTGCGCTGATGTATTGGGCCGAGTAGATTATGGATATATGGCCGACTCTCAGTATTCCACCGCATCCGCATCCACAGCAGGGTCTTCTCAGACAGTCCGACGTGATAGAGCTGTTCTTCAGCCTCGTAACCAGCGCAGGCGCCCCCGAGCACAGCCACAACCACATGAACTTCATGATGATGATGATCACGTTGACTTATGATCTTTGTATTATTATTATTATGTGAGAGTTGTAACATGCACTGGCAAATCGAATCATTTTGTGAAACACCAGATATATTATAACTTTTATGTCTTATTTCAAATGTCGTGATGCAATGAGTTTCATTAATTCGTTTTGTATTTCAGATGTATTTTGTCTTAGTAAATCATATGTTTGGTTGTTTGTTTGAGTAGAATGGACTCTGATAAGCAGATTTTCTGGTAACTACAGGTTCATTTGTGTAATTATGTGTAATTAATAGTTCAGCAGCATCCTAAACACAAGAGCCGCCACTTGAAGTGGCGGCTTTTGTATACGTATAGAAGAACCGCCACTTCAAGTGGCGCTTTTTGTATAGCACGCTGAAGAGCCGCCACTTCGAGTGCCGGCTTTGCTTAACCATGGTTAAGCCCAACAGTATTTCGGGAATTATTTTTGAACCGGTAGTATTTCGGGAATTATTTATTTAATTAGCATTATTCCGGGGAAAAACTCGAATTAAACATTTAATTATGACTTTTGACTATCTTTTATTCATATTTAAAGTAAGGGTAAAAATGAAATGAAAAAATAGATATGTTTCCAACAAAAGTAATATGGTACTGCTTTCGTTACTATCAAAACTTCCAACTTTCCTTTTATCTGTTGCAATTAAAACTTCCACTTTCCCATTTTAGTAAAGAATTTGTTGTTCACAACAATTCTTACACATTTCTCTCTCTTTCGCACAATTTTCCACCACACAATATCCACTATCTTAAATTAGTTGTGTGACAAACCTATTTGGGAGATAAAATAGGAACGCAGAAGTACTACGTGATATTTTAGAATAGAAACACAAGAAGACATATTTTGGGAGTAATTTCTATAAAAATATCCTTGTGACACGTTTGAATCACTGTGCCAACGGGGGGTTGAATCATTATCTGAGTCTGTGACACGATTCCACGCAATGTAACCAACATCTGTATATCACTGACTGTACAAGTGTCATTTTCCATGATTAACTATGACAGATTGACAGGACAGGCAAATATGAACGCACTTCGTGTTAGAGAAACAATATCTATGCTGTATAGTTTTCAATAACGAGAAAGAAACCAGAAATCACTCGCTTGAGAAATTTGGTGTTGATAGTTCAGAAAGCAGAGCAACTCTGTAATGGGTAAAGGGGGTATGTCCCATGGAGCCAGTGAGGAAGGTCAGGGCGGGGAAGAAAACATGGCCGCCTGGCTTGTCGGTGTCAACAACCTCAAGATTCAGCCTTTCAATCTTCCACCTCTTGGTAAATCTTTATATCATTCACCTCTTGCTTCTTTATCTGGACTTGATTCTAATTTTATGATTAATTAATTTAGCGCTATAATCCCCTGTTTCTGATTGTTCTGGAAATTGCCAGGACCCCATGATGTTAAGGTTAAGATGAAAGCGGTTGGCATTTGTGGAAGTGATGTTCACTACCTTAAGGTAAACATACCTTATGGATTTATAGTATCATTAGTATGTGCTTGATTAAGCTCTTAGAATATAGAAGCAACATAGTTTTTCTATTTGGGTTCATCGAAGCAGACCAATCTAAAAACATGAAATTTCATTCTAAAAGATTAATCTGATTGAACGAGTAGCTATGTCCATGAGCCGGGTTATATTTTTTTTATTTGGTCTATATGCATGGCTTAATAGGTGTCATTTATTATTGAATTTGAATGTAGCACATGAGATGTGCTGGTTTTGTTGTGAAAGAACCGATGGTGATCGGGCATGAGTGTGCTGGAGTGATAGAAGAGGTGGGGAGTGAAGTCCGGACACTAGTTCCAGGTGACCGTGTCGCTTTAGAACCCGGAATCAGTTGCTGGCGATGTGATCTATGCAAAGAAGGAAGATACAATTTGTGCCCAGATATGAAGTTTTTTGCTACCCCTCCTGTCCATGGATCTCTAGCCAATCAGGTAGATCATAACTTCATAACGTATTTAATTTGATGAATATGGAAGAAGGAGCATTGTTTTTTGTTAGTCCCACAATGGCAAAATAAAAATAAATGGACTAATAGATTAGTCCTAGATTCTACCATGCATTTTTTAAATATTATTTTCAAACCCAATGCTTTTTGTATTTTCAAACAGATTGTGCATCCTGCACATTTATGCTTCAAACTACCGGATGAATTGAGTATGGAGGAAGGGGCAATGTGTGAACCTCTAAGTGTCGGTGTTCATGCGTGCCGTCGAGCAAACATTGGTCCAGAGACGAGAGTTCTGGTTATGGGAGCAGGACCTATAGGTCTTATCACAATGCTGGCAGCACGTGCTTATGGAGCCCCAAGAATCGTTATGGCCGACGTGGATCACGCCCGTCTTTCTGTTGCAATGGAGCTTGGAGCAGACGGGGCCATCAAAGTCTCAACTAGTATCCAGGTTTCTGCTTCCATCTAATTAGCTGCCCTCCTTCAAAACACTTTTAGGGGGTGGGGGTATGTTTGTTAAACAAACATAACGACATTTCTGTTGCAATGGAGCTTGGAGCATACTTGTAGATCTAGTTATCATCTAATTGGTCCAGTAAAGTAGTTCAGTACTTCAGTAGATAGATGCATGATGGCTGAGTTTGATGCCATTACTTCAAGTAAGTCCATTGTATCTAATAGGGTTGGATGACTTGATCAGGATGTGGGTGCCGAAATAGAGAAGATTAAAGAAGCTATGGGGGATGGAATAGACGTGAGCTTTGATTGTGCAGGCTTTGATAAAACAATGACAACCGCACTTGGTGCAACTCGTTCTGGTGGCAGCGTTTGCCTTGTCGGCATGGGTCATGAGTACATGACCATCCCTCTCGCCGCAACCTCCGCAAGGTCAGTAAACATACATGATGGATGGGATTACTATCACTATCGCTATTACTCCGCTATCCTTTTTAGTAAGTAATGACAAATGTGGGACTAATATAGAAGTAATGGACGAAAATGTGACTTTTACCGTATATTGAAGATGATTTTTTTTCTTGTTGTTTCGTTATATACATACTCGATCAAATGGTGTTCAGGGAGGTTGATGTGATCGGAATTTTCCGCTACAAGAATACATGGCCTCTTTGTATAGATTTGATGAAGAGTGGAAAGATCGACGTGAAACCCCTCGTCACACACAGATTTAAGTTCTCTCAAGAGGATCTCGAAGAAGCATTTGCGACCAGTGCGCGTGGTGGCAATGCCATAAAGGTCATGTTTAATCTTTGAAAGCATAAAAGACTAACGCATGAGGAGAGACTTGCTTCCTAAAACTTATGCAGTGACTTGTTCTGGTCACTATGTATTTATGTCAATAAGCTGTGAAATGTGGTAGGTAGGGAATGAAACTACTTACTACGATTGATCTCATTTCACTGCATGTCCTTAATAACTTCAGCTGTTTGGCCATAGCTATGTTCATCATTAATTTATTAGTAACATTGTCATTGAATTTGTTTGTGTGTTAATAATTAAGGGAGCTGTGTTCAAATAAGAGCTAAACAGGTAATTTTTCGTTAAATAGGACTATAAACACAAGTGGAACTTAAATGTACTCCTCCGTCCCAAAAAAAACTTCCCACAAATAAATGAATGTGAGTCACACAAATTGTCCAAAAAATTGGAAGGCATAACAAGGAAAATTGGAAAAAATTTATGGGACGGAGGGAGTACTACTCAAACAACCTTTTTGTTTTGTACAATCTTAAGTCTATTACTTTCACCGCGGGAGAGCAACCAGTGCTAGACTGCGGCAAGCCACCACCGGCTGGCATGGAAATTCGCAATTTAGGACTGATATCGAGCATTCGAGCTACCACAATTCCACAACTAAGTATTGAGGGATTGGTTAACTAATAGGTATTACACTTATTAGGTGGGGCAAATATATGGTCTGGGCCGAAAACTAGTGGACATCTATAATTACATAAGGGGATTTTTCACAAATGGCTAAAAATTGAAAATAATATCAGTTTTTTCATGAAACTTTCTTTTCAATAAGAGACCTGACGCAGTGACGCCCAAAGGTCAAAACTGAACTCCGCAGCTCTGCTCCCACAATCCCACTTACTCCGTGACTCAAGTCACGCATCTTAATTACAATTACTAAAAAAATTGGACCCCACTCCCTAACTCGTATTCATGTCACGCACTTCAATTTTTTTTATTCTAATTGAAAACTAACAATCAAAAGCAATAATAATAATAATAATAATAATAATAATAATAATAATAATAATAATAATAAGAAAAGTTTTTGTGAATGTAAAGATGTTATAAATTTTTACAAAAATGGAATGTTAAACAGAATTGAAAATTGTAAAGTCTGAAATTAGAAAGACAATGAAAATTGGCAAAAAGGTAAAGAAGAATAAAAAAAGAAAAAAATGTAGTACATATTTTTTCGAATTTTGAACATGCAAACAACAACAAAATGTTATGGAAATAAAGAATGTACAAAAAAAGTTAAAACCAAAATAATCTAAAATCTTGAGTATTAAATAACATAAAAATAATACAGAGTAAGAAAAAGTTCAAAATAAAAAATGTAAAAATGTGGATAAATACATCAAATGTAAAATAAATTTAAAAACAAAGCTCAAACTATAATAAACTTTAAAGTTCTAAGAATTAAGAAAAATACTAAAAAGACTACAAAAGTTAAAATCCATATAAAAACATAATATCAAAAATTAAAATGTGAAAACATAATACTTGTTTCTTTTTGTTGATAATTATAAGAGATTTCATTTTTTATTGTTGATTTTTGTTTCTAGTTGTTTTTATATTCATAAATCTAAATTTATAATTTTAAATGTTTGCACAGAAATTGATATTAGTTTTTTTTTATTTCCAGAAAGTAGCCAAGATGAATAAATACCTAAATATTAAACTACAAACAAAATTGGCAATAAACAACAATAAGCTGCACACTACAACAAAAAGCAACATGATACAATAAAAAGAAACACAATGCAACAAAATGAAACAATTCTGATACAACAAAAAGAAACACGATACAACAAAAAGAAACACAATGCTACAAAATGAAACAATTCTGATACAACAAAAAGAAACACAGTGCAACAAAATGAAACAATTTTGATACAGTAAAATGAAATAACAATCAGCGTAAAAATGTATCACAACTGATATATAATTCAATCAATTAGTTTAATTTATTACATTTATATATTATATTATTTGCCTTTGCTTGATCACATTTCTTCTTCCTTGTATGCACCTTAATGCAGAATCCATCAGAATTGTCTATCATTTTCAGTGGTGCCAAAATAAGAATAAGCCGGCCTATATACAAATGAAGCCATCTGTCACCCGGGATAGAGTGAACTCTTGAAATTGATGACTTGTTCAGGACACTGAAAGAAGAAGAGCTAGCAGAGTCTCTACTCTACTCTATTTCTCCTTTTCTGTAGAAGAGGAGATTCATTCATTTCCTTAGCTACTTGAGTACAGAAACCTTTTTCTTTATGAAGTAAACAAAAAAAAATGGCAATTCAAGCTTCAGGAGCCATTATCCATGTGCAAGTTGATCTTCTTCACCTACTACTGCAGAGATTCCAATTCAAAATTTTGAATTACAATCACTTAATAGCCAACCTTACATGATATACAACAATAAGTTAAGCCAAGTTTCTATTCCCACCCAATAAGGAGCTTTGCATTTGCAAACAGTAGCTTCCAGTGTCTTTTTTTTGTGACGGCATAATAAGATACCAAATTCTAAACACCAGGCTTGTTTCATTTTAGTAACTTTAGGGGAGTTTAGGAGAGAAATGCTAAGCAAGTCCTTCCCACATTCCACACAATGTATGTCAATCACCAAATTGCAATAAAACAAAGACACACTAAGCAGCAATAGAAATTTTAAGTTATGGTATAAATTACTGAGATACACCCACTCACTTTGAGAAGTTGTCGATCTCTGTGTAATCACTATCACAAATCATACCCTCGGGCTTTGTCCCTCCCCTTCCGTTGTACTTTCCGTGGCTGTTTGAACTGGCCTTGGCTCTCTTCCTGATGATATAGAGTCTTTCAATGATCTATAGAGAAAAGAGCAAGGAGATTCCAAACATGTGGGGAGATTTATATATGAAATGATTAGAATCGGAATGATTCCAGTGCTTGTAATGCAAAAACGGCTCCCATAGAAAGTACATAACAGAAATGTGCAACCACATAATAAGTATCATGTAGAGCAATGTCTAGCCCAGAATTTGCGAGAACTATTCCAATGAGTCCTCCTATGGGTTCCCCCTTTCGTCGGTGAGGTTGGATGTAAATATGTATTTCAGGTTTTCCAATATCTAAATCCAGCAAAAATAAGAAAATCAACCCAGGCCTATTGCTTATTCACTAGATACAAGGAATTAATTAATGAACACAAAGGCTAAACTTCAGCATAATGGATGAGGAACATATATTTTTTGAACAAAGGAGGATGAAGAACATAAATTATCCACCTTATATATATTGTTCGGTAATATGCTTGGTGACATTAGAATACCTTTTTCCCCGATTTGAGTGAATTGATGTGATTCAATAACAACACACGATAGGACGATGGCTAAGGAGGATCTAAAATGGATTTCATCACCTTCGATCCAGTAAAGCTATCTGAGGCACATCTCAACCAACTGGAACTAAATCCGCACTGGATGGAGGACGGAGCGTGGAGCTGCAAGAGACGAAGGGCAGAGAGCGGAGCCGCACATGACGAAGGCCAAACGGCGGAGGGCGGAGCCGCTGAAGCCGGAGGCGTAGCCAATGCTGGGAAGGAGTGGAATAATCGCACATGCTTCTGCTCAACGATGTCTGGTTTGCGTTTTGGATTAATGTTTTGACTCTTTTTGAAATAAAGAAACTAAATTGAAAAGTTGAAAGTTAAATATGAAAAATAATACGTAGGTGGACATAAATGAAATACTAAGCACGAAATTGGACTCTTAGGGTAATTTGCACATTACATAACACTCTTATTGGATGTACATAGCTAAATAAAAGTATTACAAGCAAATATAATATGAAACATTATTCTCTTTATACAATTAATTATACATGTTGGTGATGCTGGCTCGTTAAAAACCTCACCGAGGAAAACCCAGTGGGACAAAACATTGATCAAAGGAAAAAGAGTGCAACGCATATGTACTTCCCCTCTTGACTGCATCGCTTCAAGACTTTTTGTAGGATCCAATATAATCTGACAACTTGATTGTTTATTTTCCAAAAGATTTTTCCAACGATGTTTTTAATGAGACATACACATGGTACAATTTTTGAACGACACATAGAATCCTGAAATATATTTATTTAACCTAGTAGCTATATATGTCTCTCATGTACACAACAAAAGTAAGGTGTATCAGATATGTATCCATTACGAATATACACGGACGACGTGTACAAACAACAATTTTCCAAGTAATATCATTACCCCGCAATTTATATCCTGGGATCGGCGCACCATGAGGATGGTGTGCCCGATCACAAAAAGTCGTCGTTCGATTTATTAAAAACTTAGGTTGCATCTTGGGATTAACCGATCGAAGATTTCCGCAGCTCAACATTAACGGATTTTTCTCCTTACACTGTCATCTCTTCCATACGTTTTCTAGGCTTCTTCAATGGATTTTTCTGTCGATGATTATGTTCTTTTTGATTCTTCAATTGGATTGCGAGATACTTTTGCTTCTGATACACGTGATAACATCATTCATTCAATTGGTGACAATGATTTCGAAGTTGATCAAATGATTGATGTTGAATTGATCGGTAAGTATTAATGTTGAATTGAAGTAGTTGTGTGAATTTCGTTTATTTGTGCTTGCAGTATTGTCTACTATCTTTTGTTCTCTATTTTATACGATTGCTTGAGAATTTGGATTGTATGAGTATTCATATTTGCTGATTTTACATTCAGGAGAAGAAGATATTGTTTCAAAAGCTTCTAAATTGTTATATCTTCTTAGCAGAGGTACTTATTCCGTCATGTATCTTCAATTGTATTTAACTCGTGTCTCAATTTTATGTAACTTGTGTTACATGATATGTAACTTCAGTTCAATTTAATGTAACTTAGTTCCAATGTATGTAGTTGTTGTTTGTTTTTCATATATATGCTTTGTAAATTGTCAGGTTCATTGGAAACTGATCATCAGTCAACTGAGAGTAAATCACTTATTGGGCTTAATGTCAAGTGTGAACATGATGCTTATAATCTTTACAATGATCATGCTTTTGAAAATGGATTTGGTATTCGTAGATATAAACAGAGGTGTTGTCAAGTGTGGCAATGTAAGTTTGATTATAAAGTCTTACTGTTGTTGGAAAGAAGGGAAGAAAGAACAAAAGGGTACTGAAAACAAAATGTATACAAAGTTAGATTATCGTTCTGGTTGTAAAGCGAAGTTACAGTTTTCTATTAGTATTGATGGTGAATGGACTGTTTCAAAGCATATTATTGATCACAACCATGC